GCACTTCGGCCCCCTCCCCTGGGTGACTCCATGCACATTAGAACAGAACTCAGACCAGTCCTGAGTTTTGGTTGCAGGTTGGTTGTATTGGCTTGGTGTTTGCATTGGCTGGTTTTCTTCAGAAATAAATCTCCAGGCCTCTCTAGATCCAAATCAGTATCAGGCTGGTATTTAGGCACATGAATTCATAGCAGCACTCAGCCTCCACTGACATACAGGTGGTGTCTGCACATGTGTCTTGGTCAGAACCAAGCCCTGGTCTGTGATATGGAAGATGAGGATCCTGCACTCGATTTTACCGCTCTAGTTGCTAGGCTTAAAATACCACCTACATTCTGAGGCACTGGTGAAAGGTATGTAAAGTCTAGAAGCTAGATGGGCCACCAGGGGAGTGAATGAGGTAGGGGAGTGAATGAGGTAGGGGAGTGAATGAGGTAGGGGAGAGAACTGAACTGAAGTCAGAGCCATGGAACACTCCAAAATTAAATGTTAGGGAGAAGAGGAGGAAACAGTTACAGATTGCGTTAGTCTGGGTAAACTAGGGAAACAAATCCACAGAAACTCATATATGTGTAAGAGAGAGTTTTATATTAACTGTAAGTGTACATTAAGGAAGCATCCCAACCCAGTGCTGTCCAAGCCCATAAGTTAAGGTGACCAGATGTCCCGCTTTTGGCGTTTTTTAAAAGTCCCGAATTTTGGAAAGAATGCACGACAAGCTAGGGAACAGTCTATTTGGTCCATATAGACCAAATTTTTTATCAAGAACACCCCACCCCCACCCCCCAGTCAATGGTGGCCCGCTTTAAATCTGGTCACCTTACCACAAGTCCAACCTTAGCCTATATGTCCGACACCAATCCACAAAGTCCTTCATCTCACAAAACACAGACTGATGCTGATTACAGGAGGAAAGTTGAATCAGTAAGCATGTAAGCATCTCAGCACTGGCAGGGGTCTCCACGTGGCTGCTCCAGCACCCAGGGCTGCATCTCATCTGCGTAGGTCCATGTGGCTTCTCTTCAGGGATGTCTTACAGGAAGGGAGCCTGGCAAGCTGAAGCAGGGAACTGGCTAAGGCAGCGGCACCCTGGTCCGACCATTCGAGAGTATAAGAGATCTGAGAACTAGAAATGCTAGGCTCACAGTCATATCTTTCCGCCCTTCAATTAATCACACGTGTTTATGGGCCAGGTTAGCACAATAAACCTTAACTATCTCAAAGATGAAGAAAGAGTATCGTGTCAGACAGTGGCATCCTGGAAGCCGAGTGTCGAATAATAAGTTAATTAAGTAAATGCTGGTAATAGGTTAAATAAGATAATGTCAGGATACTGTCTTTAGCAGCATTTGTGAACAAGAGGGGGTTTTCCCTGGAAAAATTAATATTTCATGATTCAGGATTTATTCATATATTTTTATAAGGAATCAGTCCTTGTTTCCTTGACTATTTATGATTGAGCATTAGGCATGGCCCCTGGAGAGCAATCGGGTTCAAATCAAAGCAGAGTGAGTGTGGTATTCTTACAGATCCAACTGTTGGGTGCTGTCTGGACCATTCCCACCCCTGGCAGCCCATGTGCCTGAATAAAACTGCCCTATAGGTTTTTCTTGACCGTGATTTTTATAGGCACTCATTATTAAAAGTTATAGGTTAATAAATAGAGTAGAATTTATTGTGGTTAATTACTTCTAGATAAGAAAGCAATAAAATTCTGCTGCAGTGAAATGGGAGTAGAAAGAAGAGCCTTATAAGTGAAAGAAATAAGAAACGATTTTCCCCTGAGTTTAGGAATATTCTTTATCGAACAGTGATAGTACATGATGTCATTGACATCAAGGATTGTGTGGAACATGGAGCTATCAAATGATTGGGGTAGTGTTTGTTTTTCAGGGGCAGGCCAACAAGGCTTGCTTTTATTGAGTGACTGATCAATAGAACTGTCAAGGGCACGGTGTACAGAGAAGAGAGGGGTGTTTATATTTCTCGGCCTCTTCCTCCTTGGACAGCGTCTTGATGAGCTCTTCTTTCTTGGCCTGGAGTCGCTCCTCTTGCGCTTGCGTGCTTCCTTGGTCTTAGACCTGCGCGCCTCAGCCTGGTCAGCCAGGAGCTTCTTGCGAGCCGGTCTGCCTTCAGCTTGTGGATGTTCCATGAGAATCCGCTGGTTCTTAAACACGTTCCCTCTCCCCTTCGGGGACAAGCTGTGATACCTATGGCGGTCAATCTTCTTTGACTCCCGGTATCTCCTGAGCAGCTGGCGGCACAGAATCCTCATCCTCCTCATCCACCTGACCTTCTCCGGCATGCGAGCATTGGCAGGACGCTTTCACTTACCTATGCCCATATGCCTGCCCTTCCGGCGGGCTAGGGTGTTTTTGCCGCACCGGGCCCGAGAATGGGCGGTCACAGACTTGCGGATGATAAGGCCCTCTTTGATCAGTTTCCGGGTTGGCTGCCGGGAGTTGGCATTGGCCATTTCATTGGTCTTGTTGGGGTCCTACCAGACTTTCTTCTTCCCCAGCGGAGGACGCTGGAGGCGAGCCTCTTCTGAAGCCTGAGCATACTCATGGCTGCGGCCGCAGCGCCGAAGGAAAGGCTGGGGTAGTATTTTTCAATGGACATGCATATGTGTTTCTGCAAAAATAAAAAGCAGATCTCATGATGCAAAAGCTTGTATTATTTCAATGAAGATATCAAAATCTTTTATTTCTGTTTGAAATGCCCCATTTCCAAAGATATTTCTAACTGGGTAAACTAAAATCTTATGTATTAAGATGGAAATTATAAGTGGAAGGAATATAATGATAATCACTTACATTTCTGAAATAGAAAATTTAAGGTAGAAATAAAATTATACTGGTTAATTTTTAGGGAAGTAAAGCCAAAACAGAAATCCAGTAGTTTTTTTGTAAGTGCCTCCACTAACTTGAAATAATTCTTGAAATTGTCACAAATCACTTGGAAACTAGAGGGGTAATGAAGCGACATTAAGTGTGCTTGTTATTATAATGCGTGACCCATTGGAGGCGCTGATGTGTGAAAGAACACACGTTTTCCAAGTGAACGAGCACCAAGCTCATCCACCCCCATTTAGTTTTGTAATTTTTAAAATCAGGTCACCGCTCTCTCAATGTTCTTTATTTGCTGGTTTGTTTTGTAGGATAGTCATAAAAAAAATTAGGGAAGAATGTTATACTGGACAGGAACTTAGAGCCATAGGTATTATTAGAATGATAGTACGTGTGTACTAAACCACTGAATACATCTACATTTGGTATGTGTAGCCATGCGCTTTCATGGGCGTGTTCGCATGCCCACCCGGCCTCTACTAGTGCATCTATACCATTCAGAGTAACCCTGCCGGGCAGAGGAGCTTCCCCAGAGGGCGTCCAAGGCCATTTTTGTGCACTTTTTCTCTGTAGTGAATTCAGATCCTTCGTATGTATTTAAAAGATACATTTTGCTGTTCTTCAGGTAAAAGTGTATGTAGTGGGCTAGGGTCCCTCCCAGCGCTGGGTATACAGCTTGTGTCACGCCGTTGCTTGTCATCTTCAGAGCGTGTCCAAATGGTCGTTCTTGCTATTGTCCGTTCTGTTCCCTCTGATCGGGCCTCCCTTCTCGTTCTTCCCTTCTCATCCTTGCTTTTGGGCACTTTGACTCTCTGGTCGCATAGAGTGAATTGCTTAAAGGGGCACATTACTCGTGGGTGATCCTGCTTATTTTATACTCTAGTGTGTGACCTAGAGATAAAGGAGATGTGTCTCTACCTGTGTGACTCTCCAAGGTTTGGAGGGTCGGGCCCAAGCTCACTGCCATAGCGTCAGTGCAGACTCACTGTGACCCTATGGGACAGGTAGTTGGCGCCACTGCAACGCTGAGTAGAAAGCTCCATCTTTCTTCCTCGGAGCAGCTGGTGGTTCTGAACTGCTCACTTTGCAGTTAGCAGCCCAATGTGTAACCACTCCGCCACCAGAGCTCCTTCCGGAGAGACTAGGCCCCGAGAAAAAGACATCGTTCTCGGGAAAGTAGGTGGTCAGCGAGAAAGATGACGCTGAAGGAGACGGATGGACACAGTGACCGCAACCAGGGACTCGGACATCACGGCTGCGAGGCGGGCGCAGGACCGGGCCGTGTTTCGCTCTGCTGTGCCGGGGACACTGGGTTGAGACGGACGCCGGTCCGCCTCGGCGCAGTGGCAGTGGGTTCTTTTGCGGATACGCACAGGAAAGCATACAAACGAATTCAGTCATTTCTACAACATGATTACACTCAGGTTGTGCAGTGTTCTCACCTTCCTTTTCTGAACTCCCCCTCCCCTTAACATAGATGCATGGCTCCTTCCGGTTCCTGTCCAGTTTGTGTTTGCCGTCACGTTGATCCCTGTAGTCCCTTAAAGAGACTCGTGCTCCCGCCAGACCATGTTCACTAGTTAGGCTAAGCTGTTAATTAGTGTTACGAAGACTTCAAGGATAGTTTTGGATTCAGTTTAAAGATTTTCTCTAGAATGCCTAGAGTCCATGGGAAGTTGAAATTCTATTCTGCATCTTCACCCTTTTGATGTGAATTTTAGGACTCTACAGCATGTTTATTAAAATATTCAGCAGCCAGTTACCACCCAGCTCCTCTATCACATGGCAAACTAGGCGGTTGTTTAGAGAGAGGCCGCCGGCCACACCTCTATTTTCTTCACCCCTCCCTCCACTGCTGCAGGTGAACAGAGACCACCCATTTATCCCTTGGCTGACCAACCACACGCTTTTAGTACCCCATGTACCACACAGCACACTATACTATTCCTCCCCATCACCTCCTCTATTGGATTGTTGTACTCACTAATATGTGTTTATATTACTTGTGCCTTAGTCCTTAATTTCATTTCTACAGATTCCGCTTCTGAAACGAAGTAAGTCTTCAAACATGGGTAGGAATGCAATATGTGGTGTATGAGTCAGCAATTATTTATAAATTAATTCACCAGTAATATCTTCTTTGCCAGAACCATGATTCCAGTGACAGAGTTCCGGCAGTTCTCTGAGCAGCAGCCTGCCTTCCGGGTGCTGAAGCCATGGTGGGATGTGTTTACCGATTACCTCTCAGTGGCCATGCTGATGATCGGAGTATTCGGGTGCACGTTACAGGTGGGTGCTCAGGCCTGTGGCAAAACAGGAGTCAATCTAAAATCCTAGTCAATGGAACCTCTGAAAAGGGCATAGCTGTCAGATGTTTGCCCTTGGAAATACTGGTTGCTGTTCTCTGCTTGCGTGTTGTAATCCTGGCATATGGTGTTTTAATCATGGCACGGAGCCAGACACGTATTGACTGAGCTTTCTTCATAAGGTAAATAATGTACTTGTAGGATTTCAGTGGGCCCCAAAGTAGTGGACTATTGTCAAGGGATGCTTCACAATACAGTAAGTAGACTGTTGGTGTAGTGGTTACAAGTGGAGTTGCAGTCCACAAGGTTAGCAGTTCTGTATCACCAGCAGCTCTGTGGGAGAAAGCTGGGACTATCTACTCCCCTAAAGAGTTACAATCTCAGAAACTCACAGGGGCAGCTCTACCCAGTTCCATAGGGTTGCCAGGAGTCAGCATTGACTCTGTGGCAATGAGTTTGGTTTGGGGTTTGGCATCTTTCAAAGTGAACTTTACAAAGAAACCCAGCATGAATACTTATACCCATTGCCCTTCGTTTGATTCCAACTCATAGAGACACTAATGGACAGAGGAGAACTGCCCCTCGTGTGCACCAGGCTTTGTCTTTAAGGAAGCAGACTGCCACATCTGCTGAATACTGTATCACAGCACCACCAGCACTCCCTAAGTATATCCACAGCACATGTTATATTGCATGAATCAATATAGCTGCCCCAGTGAGATTTTCAGGAAGAGTAACTATTTTGATGTTCACTTATGAATGAAAAAATAACCTAATAAAAATCACTATTCTATATCAATGCTATGTATTCATGTATGGAATACCTATATTTTC